CAATTCTTACCTGACAGTAACACCAGGGCTCAGTCCCCTTATATATACATATACATACATATTTACTAGGTAATATAGTAAGTCTATAAAGAATACTAGTATGTTATTAAATATGTATGAACATGTATATATGAGGAAAGGAATATACTTCTAATTTCATTTTCTACAAATTCTTGATGCCTCTCATTTACATGGAGCTGTCATTTATAAATCACAGGCAAAAAGCTAGGCAGAAATACAGTTGCTCGTAGTATGTACCTTGCAGTCCAATTCTCAAAATAGCTGTTCCATTTTCCCGATAAGTTAAAGGAGAGATAAGTGAAAGTTTTCCCTGAAATGAGAGAAAAATAGTTACATAGAAAAGCCAAAAGAGTTTGTTAGGATGCCAAGATAATAAGGAAAATTTAGAGTACTTTAAGGCAATACAGTTTTCTATTTCAAGGAAAAGTACTGTATTCAGCAATTTTTAAGATGATATCGTACTGACTTAGTACTGAATTTGTTTTTCTAAAGAAAAAATCAGTCTAAAGATATTTTAATTTAGATTCATAATTTAATTTCTCAAACAATCCTATTAGTTAAGAACTATCACAGATGAAGTTGAACTAGATCAACTTTTCCTAATCTCACTTTGATGTGTAATGTTGTCATCTACTAAAGAGTTTGTCCCTACACAGAAATGAAATTCTAGTAAGAAACTTGAACAAGTAAAATATGATCATCTAAATTTGGACATAATGGGTAAAGAGACAGACTAAGATACAAGTACATTTTAGATTTACTTCTGAAACTAATCAGCTGTCAGCTTTGAAAAGGCAATTTAATTAAGGTGACCAGATTTTAACATTGGTAAAGCGGGACACCAATGATAAAACTCATATCCTGACGAAATAGCCACATGGCAGCCGAAAACCATATACCCTAGCTTGTCGTGCATTCTTTCCAAAAATGCACTTTTTTAAGACACCGTGGGACATGGGAAAAATTGTTAAAAATCAGGACTGTCCCGCCAAAAACGGGACATCTGGTCACCTTACATTTAATCAGTCTCACATAAAATGAAAAGTTTAATCTGGATAATTTTTACATGAATATATTATTGGGAGCTCTGAAAACTTTCACAGAGTACACTAATTTATTTAGAAAGTTTAGAAATAGGTCCTAGAGTACATAGGTCCCACATTAATATTCCATCTTTTGGTTAACAGTCGAATGCTTTGGTACTGTGCCACAACTCTACCTAATTCCAAACCCAACTCAAGGACTGGCTAGATTGACTCAAAGCACCACAAGAGGTCCTAGGAGAAAGCCTGCACTCCTCCAGGTACAAAAACCATTTACTTCAGTACTCACTGTCCTACACAAGATCGAAGGCTTTCAACCACAACCAGCACTGCTGTCACCGCCACCACCATCATCACCAAACGAAACAAGGAAGATCAACTCAATGTTAAAGACAGGAAGCAATTCCAGAGAACCACAACAAATTCAAGTCCTGCTTTAATCAAGTTCAACCTGAAGTAAATGCCTCCATCCCTGTTGCACCTGAGCCAAGTGGAAGACAGGTGTGAGCAAGAGGAGAGTGGGAAACATACCACTGAAAGGTGACACTGATTTTCTGACAGTGGAGGGAGAACAAAAACCAAAGATGCCTTAAGAGGAATCCCTGCCACTCCAGGAAGGAATCCCAAAACCTGGGGGCGGAACTCTCCAGCCCTGGGAGGTACTGGTCCATTGCTGTCTTCTGGAATTACTCCAGGGTGCTTCCCCTCTTCCCAAAGGAAGAGTCCTGGTGCTGCTCTCACAAAGGCTGCTTTGAAAGTGGAGCCTGCCATTCCCTGAGCTAAGGCAGCAAGCAGAGACTGGTCTGCCTCCTGCTCCCTGTATATAGACTACCTTCCAAGGTCCTTCATGCCTTATAAAGTGAACAAGCTGGAAAAGCCAGGGTCGGGCAGTGGCCCCAAAATCCAAAGACCACCGAGTCAATTCCAACTCATAGCCACCCTAAAGGGCAGAGCTGAACTGTGCTAGGCTTTCTTAGGCGGCCAGAAAGCCTCATCTTTCTCCCATAGAGTAGCTGGTAGGTTCAAACCGCTGATCTCGTAGTTAGTAGTCTAAGGCATAGTTTACTGAAAATCAGGGTTGACCTAAATGACCAGGACTGAATTGGGGGGTGAGATTAGAGGGAGTGGGGATAAATATGACCAGCATTAAGGAGCACGATAGAAATGCAGTCAACCTATGTCGCCTGACTGACCCACGTCCTTCCTCAATATGTCCCCAACAGTGTTAGTCTGTTTCCAGGGGTCCCACACATGTCATCAGAACTGTGTTCCTTTTGTGAAAGGCAGAAATTAACCACAGAAGCATTCAGGGGCTTATTTTTAAAAATGCAGAACAGATAATTCCTCAGATTTAGCTCCAATGGGAATTATTTCATTCAGAAACAGGAATGAATTCTGCCCCTCCCTTTAATCAATGTCACGATCTCAGCACTGAAGGCATTCAGGTCGCCTGTACTCATAAGCCAGAGTTGGAAGGAGTAACAGAATTTACCAGATTTCCTGCTCGCGGGCCAAGGCACAGTCGGTGCAGACTATCTGGATTATCGCTTTGGGCCACACAGGAAAGAGCAGAGCAGAAATCGGAGGAGAATGTCACCTGGTGGCACTCCGAGGCAGAGCCTGGTGGTTAATGGGCATCCAGAATTCCTGGGGGGAGGCCCACGGCTGACATCAATACTGCCATTTGTCTCATACGGGCCACTTGTCTCCTACTGACCACCGCCTGGGTAAACACTGCCCCGCACAGATGGAGCAAGGCTGGGCCTGGGCCCTGGGCCCTGGCCCCTGGGGGTCAGATTATTCAGAATACTGATGGAGTGGCATCTCTATGGAAAAAAACTGCCAGAAGCCAAACCAGAGAAAGAAAAAGGGGACGGGGAAGTGGCAAGAATTAATATACATAGTTTCATTAGTTCTACACCAATCAAGTCCAAAAACTGGCAGAACAAATTGAGAAGGTGCCCCACTGGACCTGGTACCATGAATTCAGATACCGAGTCTCCAAACTGTGAGAAGAACTTCTGTTTGTAAGTCATCCCTTGACAGATTTCTGTTATAGCTACACCAAATAACCAGGATGGACAGATATCGGTGGTTAGCTAAGCTGAATGTTCCTCAGCTGTGACACTAATCTTTTTGTGGCCTGTATCTACTTGGGCCCCATTCCCAGGGGCCTTGGGGAAGCAACTAGGAGGCAGGCAAGCATGAAGCTCACGCTGCCAACTGCACTATTAGAAAAAGGCTACCTAAATCCATTTGTGCAGCTTGTCTTTTTGCCAGCTTAAGCTACTGAAAGCGGCCAGGCCGAACTTGGAGCTGCATTATGAACTACTATTTAAGAAATAGCGGCCAAATAACAATTTCCCCCATTGAAATGAAAATATTTGTTCACATAAAAGCCTATACATGAGTGTTATATTTTGTTTATCATCACACAACTGGTAAGAAGACAATTATCCCAACACTGGTGAAGGGATGAGCATGCTGTTACATCCTCCCCTGGCATTGAAGTCACAAGTAAAAAGGAATATGCTATGAAGGAACACAACAGCCTAAGTGACCTCAAGTGCCCTCAGTTTAGGCAAAGAGCCAGACTTAGAATGCTGTATACTGTATGTCATCATTTGCACATCTTTCTTGAATATCTAAAGTATGGGTATAAAAGGGTTAAGTCATTGCCTGCCACCAGGGATTGAAGAGGAGTGGAACAGTCTAGGTCTAAGGCAGTGGTTCTCAACCTGTGGGCTGTGACCCCCTTTGGGGGTCAAACGGCCCTTTCACAGGGGTTGCCCAATTCATAACTAGCAAAATTACAGTTATGAAATAGCAACAAAAATAATTTTGTGGTGGGGGGGGGGTTCACCACAACATGAAAGGGTCACAGCATTTAGGAAGGTTAAGAACCACTAGTCTAGGGGATTCTATAGCTTGATTATAGTTGCTGGTGCATATGTTCATAAAAAAACAAAAAGCACACTCAGTGTCCTTTAGTCGATGCTGACTCATAGCAAGCCTACAGGACAGGCTTGGACTGCCCCTGTGATTTTCTGAGACTGTAACTCTTTATGCGAGTAGAAAGCCCCACCTTTCTCCTACGGAGTGGCTAGTGGTTTCAAACTGCTGACCTTGTGATTAGCAGCCCAACTTGTAACTACTATGCCACCAGGGTCCCTGCATGTACTTAAACATATGTCAAAACTTGTTGAATGGCACACTAAAACTAAGAATCATAAAAATATTAAGTTTCACTTTATAGAAATTACTTTCATTAAATAATAAAAAGCAAGTAAGCATTAGAATGAACAGTAACCTAATTAAAAAGTTACCATTATAAACTGCAGATCAACCTTCAAAATTAAAATGCATTACTAGAGAAACATAAATAAGACAGATCTTTAGTTAAAACAGAGCACCTGTCATAGACTGAATGGTGTCCCCAGAATTTGTGTCAGCTAGGTTGAACCACGATAGCCACCCCTTTGGCAGTTAGGCAGTGAAGTAATCACTCCCCAGAGGGATCTGGGGGCTGTGACCTAAGAAAGGGTGTTTCCCTAGCTAACTTGCATCACCTGGAGCTAGTGCCTGAAATCCACACTCTAGTTTCCTAAACCGTAAGAGAGTAAATTTATGTTGGTTAAGTCCACCTAGTTGTGGTATTTCTGTTACAACAGCACTAGGTAACTAAGACAGTATGTAAGTATATGTAAGAGTTCAAAAATTTTTAAAAGATGATTCATGATGTAAAGGAACAGAAAGAATATATTTAGTTTATATTTAAAATAAGAATTATGAATGAGACATGACTAAAAGATACTGCTTAGTTTTAATCCTACTGGATACAAACCATGCTCACTTATAGCTAAAAAAGTTTACTATAATAAACACAGTCCCACTTATCCATGGATTGTCTGTCTCCTGAGCTCAAATGTTGCCAAGTATAGTTTAAAACACCATGTGGCACCAATCATCTCTGGTGAGCATACTTGGCAACACTCGGGCTCACTGTCATATTAACAGGGGAAAAATCCCTGGTGCTCCTGAGCCAACTGTAAATTACACTAGTATGTGAGGAAGGTACCCCAACCCCCCACAGAGTTCAAGGGTCTACTGTCCTAATAAAAAGCAAAAAAATTTTCACTAATATAAGTTGTTGTTATTGTTGTTCATGATGACCCAAGGGACAACAACATAATGAAACAGTGCCCAGCCCCAAGTCATCCTCACAATCATTTATTTATTATTTATTGGTTGTTAAAAGATCATTTTA